CCAGCCCCAGTATGGACATTCTTGAGGAAACTAAACTTAGAAATTGCATGAGACTGAGCTGTGCCTTCAGGACATCTTCCAGAAGGAGCTGAAGATCTCGTATTGCAGTGGCACACACATTCACGCGTTTACAGCGGCACAACTCCTAATAGCTTAATCTCGGAAGTGGCCTACATGCCCATCACTAGATGAATATATAAGGAACACATGGTGTATATTTATAATGAAGTACTACTCGGACACAAAGAAGGATAAAACTTGACTCACCTGTAGGAAAGTGGATGCTTCTGGAGGCCACGGTGCTAAGTGAAGTGGATCAGATGCTGAACCTTAAACATGGCAGGGTTTCTCTTACGCGCAAAACTCAGAATATCCATAATTTAAAAGGCAAAAGAAGAGCGACAGCAGGAAACAGAAGCAGACATTGCGGAAATGAAAAGAGAATCTGGAGATGGAAGGAGAGGGGCAGTGAAAGGGATCAAAGTGATTAAAAGGTGAAACTTTCTGGCCTGTCACCATCAACCATGCATGGTTCCCCAGGATGCATGTAATTTTTATGCATCGCAAATATACACCAATGCATATTTTTTAATTGAAAAAATGAATAAATTATGTGGGAAGAAACACAAACTCTGAAACAACCACAATGACCTGTTATTGTAACAGTGTGCTGTATGAGACCAAGCTGATCCTGGCCTGGTCTCATTCAGAGACCAGGTACAGCATGTCCAGTCCATTTTATATCCATAGAAAAATTAATCTTTTATTTTATTATTCCTCTTGATTTGGTTTTAATATTTTAATTGCAGCAATTTTTGCTGAAATGTTTAAGAATTCTTACTATTTATCGCGTCTGATTAAAACTGAGTGAATCCACAGACGAGGCTCAGTAGGCAGGTGTGGCACAGGAAGCACCATTAGGGGCCTCCACAGCAACCCGGGAGAGGTGGCAGTGGCTTCAGTCAGAGCAGTGCCTGTGGAGTGGAGCAGTTAAATTCCAGAGAGCTGGAAGCCAGTGTTAACGGATCTGTTCATGGAACGGAATGCTTTGGGGGTGATGTGTCCTCACCATGACTTGCTCAAATTAGATTCCCAATATTGAGAGGTTGTGGAGCATCTTACCAATAACTAGATCACAGAGCTCCAACCTCACGAAGGAAGTCCTGTAGTTTTCACAAGAGTGTGTGAGTCACTGGGGGCCAGCTGAGGGTTTCTCTTGATTCTTCTCTTGAATGTGTTGTTTTCTAACTACACCTATGTCCCCTCTGTTTCCTTACCATCGTATGATGCTGCACAGAGACGTGCTGCTGGACCTCCAAAAGGATGAGTCAAAATAAACCCTTTTTCTTTGCAAAGCTCTCATCCTCTGGTATTTTGAGACAGTAGCAGAAAGTTTAAAAAAAAAAGGCAAGGCATATGAGAGAAAAAATAAATTTATAACTTTAAATTTGGAGGCAGAGCAACTGGAAGGAGGAATCTAAATTTCCCCAGAGGAGGCTCTCTACAGTGGGTTGTGGTTGTAAAAGAAGATGGCAGGGTCAAGATTTTGATTGTGCACCTTCTGATTTCCTACTCCTTCCAAATGGAGATGGTTGGAAGGCATTTGTATTGAAGCCCCTGAGCTCAGGAGTGATGTGCATTGAGTCAGCTGCACAGAGCTGCATAAAGCTGTGACCCTGGATGGGCTCCCTAGAGTGGGCAGAACCCTAGAATGGGCAGGACCATAGAGTGGATGGTGAAGAAAGAGGGTCCTGAGTTCAAATGCCGGAAGCTCTTCCTGTTAGGCATGGGTGGAAGGTGGAGGAGCCTTGTGGAGTTGTCAGCTCACGTCTGCAAAGAGGAAAGTTAAGTTTGCCAGTGAGAAAAGTCCCGGAAGCCAAGTGAGGGCCATTTTGAACGAGGAGGCAATGATCAGTAGTGTCCACATTGATGATCAAAGAGTACTCGTCGCAGGTCCACTGCTGGGCTCCCCTCGCGTGAAGTCAGCAGGCCTTGTTCTATGTCACAGGCACCCCGGAAGATCTACCTGGAGGAAGGCTTCCACACTTTTCTTGGTATTGCTTGTTGAAGAGCCATCTGATTAGCAGGATCATGTTGTACTCTGCTGTAGACCCCCCCATGAGTTTTTATATGTATTTTTTGAACTGTATTTGGTACAGAGTCTCACTAAGTAGATCGGACTTGTAGTGATTCTCCTGTTTCCAGCCTCCAAGACATTAGGATTACAGACATGCACCACCACGCCCAGTCTCCATTCGCTGTCTCAGAGTGACCCAGAGGCAGGGCTGCCACGGCATGCCTGGGATGGAACCCTGTCCACTGTGCTCCACCCAAGCAGGTGCTTTAGTCCGCTGAGCTATCTGGCCGGCCCTATTTTTAATATGAAATAAATAACTTATCTGAACTGTCCAGAGATGACGCTTCACAGAAAAATGAGAGACATTTAAACATAATTCAGGTTGCCTTTTTTTTTTCCCATAATTTTATTGATAAACAAATAGCAATGAGACAGTTTCAAATCACATTGGTAGGACAGTTTCAATAATTAACACATTGCATACATTCTTCCTAGTGGTTAATTGCTGTACAAGATGCAGACTTGATATCCTATTTACAAACACCATTAGAACAAATTCCCTCTATTCATTAAGAGAATGCAACTATGTATCTATCCTAACCACTTTGAATACACAGATACAAAATGGACATTCATCTGTGTCCCCTTTTTTTGTTAAGTTTCATCATTTAGGTTGCCACTGTGCCAAAACTGTGTGGAGATTTGTAGGGTGGTGTGCCCAATGCTTAATCTCACTTTTTTTTTTTTTCCATTTTTTATGTATTTGGTACAGGGTCTCACTACGCAGCTTGGACTCTTAGTAAGCCTTCTGTCTTCAGCCTCCCCAGTGCAGGGATCACGGGCTTGTGCCCCCACGACTGATCACAGTGGCTGGCTCAGCTTGCTTGGGTGTGGTCGTGGAGTGGCATGTACTGCCAGGAACCGAACCCTGGTCCCTGCACTTGCCTAAGCAGCCCTTTAGTCTGCTGAGCTCTCTAGCCGGCCCTGGCGTGCCTGAGGGCTGGGCCGACATGGCCTGCAGTACCGGGGATCAAGTTCCGGTCCGTGCCCTTGCTGAAACAGGCATTTAGTCCGCTGTAATCTTGCTCTTAACAGTTGACATGGTTTGGATTTCTGAGACAAATGAGGAAAGAAAAAAAAAAAATCCCTTAATAGATGTTAATCATAAGTCACTCGATTTGTAACATACGTAATATTAGTGGGTGTTTTTCTTTTGTTTATTTGATTCTTTTTGCTGCAAGGCTCATGGCTACTTGGCCACTAGGAAGAGGAAAACTGCTTGAGTCACTGGGATTTTTTGTTTCCTTACAGTTCTCAAAGGTAATTCTAGGTCACTTAACCTATTTCATGTCAACAATTTCAGTGGCTTAGAGAAATGTATCAACGAAAATTTGGCTGGGTTGCAGGGGTACGGAAATGCCTCCCGGGACTTTTCTATATTAAGAACTGTAGATGAAGTGAATTCATCTTGTTGTTCTGGTGACTGCAGTTTATTTTTAGGCTTAGCCTGGGGAGTTTTCATGGAGAGCTTGGGCTGTCGTGTTCTAGGAGGAAAACAGTGCTTCCTGCGTGCACCACAGCATCCTCACATGGGCAGTGATACTGCTTGGTGGCCATTGTCGGTGGCTGGTTCAGATGTTTATTCTCTGGGCTTTCAGATCCATCCGCGCCACCAGCCCCAGCCAACCTTCGACTTGCCAACTCCACCGTCAACAGTGATGGGACCGTGAGCGTGACTATCGTGTGGGACTCCCCTGAGGAGCCAGACAGCCCCGTGCATCACTACAAAGTATTCTGGACCTGGCCGGTCAGCAGCAAGTCTCTCGTCCCAACGAAAAAGAAGCGGAGGAAAACTACCGATGGGGTAAGTAGGCTTGAGGAGGAAGAGGCGCCTCTCCTTGGAGGGTGTCAGAGCTGAAGACATCTGGCCTGAACAGGAGTCTCCAATGGGCTCAGGATGGATAAAGGACAGCATTCCTTTTCCTGCATTTGGATGACATTCAGAAAACGCAGGGCGTGTGTTCTTGCAGGGGAGAACAAGACCCTAGTCTCTTGCTCTGCCTCTCTTTGGCATCTAGGCCACAAGTTCAAAGCTTTTGCTTTGACATCAATTTTGCCCCCTTGTGATCCCTGCCCAGTGTATAGGGGCTGGTGCAGCATAGCCTGCAACTTATAAAATGGAGCCTAAATAAGGCTTTTCTGAGTTTCTGGTTGCCTTGACCATTCCTTATAGCCAGGGAATGCTGACTGTATATCTCATAAGCGAGTTGTGGCTTTGGATGCCGAAGATTGCACAGGATGCACAGGTTGTGTGCATCCCTAGGACACCTGTTTCTCTCTTACATTTCAGGTAGAGACAATTGACATGAGCCCAATGACCTCCTTATTCTTCCCCAAATGGTAGTCATAACTTGAACTCCAAAAATCAAAGGAACACTTGAGGTCATCTCCATTTTATCTTTGTAGACACAGAAAGTGACATAATATGCAATGTCCCTTATAGTTAGGGGTTCCCTCCCCCAAAGAGAAACTTTTAAATTAAGGGCCATTTCATGGCTTTTTTGTGCAAGGCCTTTCTCTCTGCAGTCTAATCAGTGGGAAGAAAGCTTAGAAAGAACATTTCTGACAATGCATTCTTCACACTGATTAGAAGAATCTGAAGTGGTTTGTTTTCCTGATTCAGAGAGATAAAAATCTGCATTGAACCATTTTCTGCAGAGAGGTTTCCAAGATAGTGAGTGTCTTGAATCACAGGAAATGTTCAGTGCATTAAAAAGTCAATCTGTTTCCCTTTAGCATACCTTCGTTTATGGTACTGTTAAAAAGTATGCAAACACGTCCCCTCTTCATTTATTAGCTCAAGTTCTACACATCAACACATATGTACAACTATTTTTGAAGACAGCATTCTAATTGTTCTACTCTTTGTGCCATTTAGAATTAAAAGGTCCTCATGAGTGTTAGATATTATTATTTGCATTGTAAAGAAATTTTCCAGGGCCAGCCAAAGAGTTCAGCGGATTAAAGTACCTGTAAGCAGGCACAGGGGCCGGGATTCAATCCCAGGGCCTGCTGTGCTGGCCCCATCCCCAGCGTATGCTGAGACTGCAATTGGGACTGGGCGTGGTGGCGCACGTCTGTAATCCCAGCTCTTGGGAGGAGGCTATAAACAGGCCGATCACTGTGAGTCCGATCTAGTAGCGAGACTCTGAACTCACTGTAGACCCTTCCCTAAAAAAGAAAAAAATTCCTACCATTCTACCATCTAATCACTGGTATCTGAAAAGTGATGGATGACATGCTAGCAATCCCCTACTCTCTGTCCCATCACATGCTTGGAGCAACCGAATAGCGTCAAACATAGTAGAGCAATTGCACTGTATTTCTAGTGTAGGCCTACTGTGTGTGTGTTTTTTTTTTTTTTTTTTTTTTTTTTTTTTTTGCGGAACCGGGGATTGAACTCAGATCCTTGCATTTGCCAGTCAAGCGCTTATCCTACTGAGCCATCTCCCCGGCCCCCCTACTGTTGATTATACTTGTAATCACTTATTTATGCACTGGCTCACAGTAGCCTACATTACATGTCACGGTCTCATGAATGACTTGTGGCTTTGGATGCTGAAGACGGAAGTTATATGTTGTGTGAATCACTGCAGTTTCCAAGAAATAAATAAACTTCACAGAAAGGCCAAAGTATTGTTTGAAAATAATTTTCCCAGTGCGTTGCTTTCACCCTCTAGGATGGTGTGGAAATGACGAATCCTCACCACCTTCCTTCCCAGATCCGTTCTATTTCTGTGACGTCTGTCATGCGTCTTCTGTAAATAAATCTTTATGGAAAGTTGCAAGACAGATCAACCTGGAAGAACACTTCTAAATTGTTTCTAGTGTTGTTATTGTTAATATCACGCACTTCCATTAAGGCTTATCCCAAGAGCCCTCGCCTCATTTGTTCAACAATCTGGGTTAATCCCTGTACCACAAAAATGAAATTGTAGGAGGCTGGGTACCGCTCAGTGGTGGAGCTCCATCTGATAGGCTAAGGCCACGAGCTCAGGCCCCCGCACTGCAAATAAAACAAGCAAATAGCAAAATGGCACCTGGTTTTTTTGTAGGTATAAACCTAGTATTAAAAGGCACAAATATAAAATATGAGAATTCTTTAAGTATCTTGAGACTGAAAAAGAACTCTGAAACGCCTGAAAAAGCAAGTGCTGCATTCAAATGAACACGCAAGAATTTGTTAGTGAAAATGAGCAGAAACATGGTTCTTGCGCTTGCAAGTTCAGTCAGAATATGGTGTATTTGATATTACAGAGAAAAATTTTGAGGTCTCAGGGGAGCACAGCATCAGCATAAAGGAACAATGTGATGTCATCGCGGGCATTGTGAAGTCGTAGTGAAGGCAATGTGATGCCGTGATAGGCTTCTGTGATATCACAGGGGGCAACTGGGATGTCCTAAAGGAGAATCGAGACATCCGTCACAATGGGGAAATATGAGGTCACAGTTGGGAATTGTATTGTCACAATGGAGGTGCCAGGAAGCCACAATAGGATATATGCCATCAATTACAAAGTAGAGCTCAATATACTAATACCCACGTCTCTTTCCAAAATATCTAAGATAGGTTGGCCAAGTAGCTCAGGGGATTAAAGCACCTGCAAGCAGGTATAGGGGCAGGGAGTTCAATCCCCAGGCCTGCCATGTAGGCTGTGCCCCCGGGGCGCGCTGAGATGGCAGTTGAGACTGGGCATGGTGGCATGTGCCTCTAATCTCAGCTCTTGGGAGGCTGTAAACAGGCAGATCACTATGAGTCTGATCTAGTAGTGAGACCCTGAATATCCTGTAGACCCTTCCCTAAATACAAAACAAAACAAAACAAAAAACCCCAAAAACAAGGTATCTAAGTGTAAGTGAAAGCTTGCCTCAACAATTTACCCTTCAAAACTACAGAATACATCTCTTATTAATAGGACACTGTTCAGTTATCCTACTTAACCACTAAAGAGTTATCATACTGATAACTTTACATGGACAGAATTATTTAATGATAAAGTTTACATTGACAGAATTACTATGTAATGATCTTTTAAGTGACTCATGTTATTTACATGTTACTGAAAATAGCATATGAAGCACCAAATGCTGCCATGAAGTGAACAGAGAGGACTCTGTGAGAACAACCAGAAACATGGGCGGCACAACTCCAGATCCACTACTGTTTGTATGGGTAGGCCTACAGAAAGTGCAGCGGTGTCCTTTCAAAGATCTGCTCATTTTAATTCTGATGAAAGTAGCTTGTGATGAGATCCTTATGGAACATGATGTGGTCATAGTGGAAATTACATTGTGGTGATGGAGTTTCATGAAGGAGCAAGGGTGAGGTCATAATGGGGGCATGGTAACAGGATGATAGACAGTTGTGATGTCATAATGGGCATAGTGATGCCATAATGGTGTATTTGATAACACAGTGGGCGATTTTGAGGTCACACCGGTGCACAATGACGGCCTAGAGGAGCTATGTTATGTCACGAGAGGGACATTGTGAAGTCATAGCAAGGACAATGTGAGGTTACAATGGGGAGCTCCAAGGTCACATGGAAATTATGATGTCACCATGGGGCATTGTGGTGTCACAATAAGGCGTTGTGAGGTCACAGTGGAGTGTTATCCTGGCACATTGTTTCAGTGTCGTGTTCCAATTGGGGCACTGTGATGTTGTAGTAGGAACTTGTGATTTCATAAAGGATGGTTTTGAGGTCATAATAGGGTGTCATGATGCTATCACAGAATGCATGAAGTCACAATAGGACATGATTATGTCACAGTGAGATACTGTGGCGTCATGATGTGGCACTGTGATGCCGTACTGTGCTATGGTGTTGTCACAGTGGATAATATTGATGTCCTAAAGGTTGACCCTGATGCTATAAAGAGGGCAGTGTGAGGTCACAATGGGGGAATGTGGGGTCATCATTAAGAACTGTGGTGTTTAAACTGGTCATTGCTAGGTCACAACATGGCAAATGGTGTCATAAGAGATCATTGTGACCTCATAATTGGGCATAATGTATGTGTGTGTGTTTTTTTTTTAATGTATTTGGTTTTTATAGGGTCTCACTATGCAGCTCGAACTCGTGGTGATCTTCCCGCTTTCAGCCTCCCCAGTGCTGTGATTACAGGCATGCACTGCTACACCCAGACTCTGGCTGGCTCAGCCCACCCTGGGGACAGGACTGGCTCAGCATGTGGTGCCAGGGATCAAACCTCAGCTTGCCTAAGCAAGTGCTTTAGTCTGCTGAGATATTTCGCTGGCCTCAGACATTGTTTTTGTAATTTGGGCACCATGGTGTTGTAATAGGCTCCTGTGATTTTACGATGTTCGATGGTAGTGTCATAAAGGAAAATTTTGATGTCATCATGGGCCACTATGAGGTCATAATAGGGAATGGTGTCATCACAAAGGGCATGCCATGAGGGCACTGTAGGTTGTATGACGTCAGTGGCAACATAAAACTTTCAGGTGTAAATTCATCACCTCTGTCTCTTTACAAATTATATGAAAGTGAACTGAGGCTATCCACACGTCTTTACCATTTCATACTACAACATGCATCGCTTGCGTAGGGGACATTATCTTATAATCTTATTTCACCACAAAACAGGTATCTCACCCAAAAAATGTATATTCAGAAGAAGTCTTTAATGATACTTTAAATTTTTTTTTTTCCTTTTTTCGGAACCGGGGATTGAACTCAGGCCCTTGCACGTGCCAGAGAAGCGCTTATTCCACTGAGCCATCTCCCCAGCCCTACTTTCAATGTTTAATGTTATTTACATGCTACTGCAGTTAGCATG